ACAAGCTCAGCCTCTAGCTTAGTGGCCCTCTCATGGGCTGCAGCAAGCTCACCATCCCTGAGCGCGTTCCTCTCGCGAATGCCAAAAGCTCAGCCTCTAGCTTAGTGGCCCTCTCATGGGCTGCAGCAAGCTCACCATCCCTGAGCGCGCTCCTCTCGCAGACTTCCAAAAGCTCAGCCTCTAGCTTAGTGGCCCTCTCATGGGCTGCAGCAAGCTCACCATCCCTGAGCGCGCTCTTCTCGCAGACTGCCAAAAGCTCAGCCTCTAGCTTAGTGGCCCTCTTATGGGCTGCAGTAAGCTCACCATCCCTGAGCGTGTCCCTCTCGTGGGCCGCCAAAAGCTCAGACTCAAAATTAGAAGCCCTTTCATGAGCTGCCACAAGCTCACCCTCTCGGAGCACGTCCCTCTCACGAGTCACCAAAATCTCAGAATCAAGCTTGACAATCCTCTCCTGAGCGGTAATAAGCTCCCTCTGCATAAGGCTAAGATCCAGCTTCAGCTTGTCTTGATTATAGGCCCTCGAAAGCAAGCAGATGGAGGAAGTCGAAACTAAAAAAAAAAAAAAGAGACAAGAGATTAAGAAAAGTCAAAAACACAGGAAACGACTGGAGAAAGGGAAATAGCAGACCCTTACCTGAGCCAGACCTTCCAAATACGTGTTGACGATATTATCAGTGCCCGAAGCGCTAAGCTCAGAAACTTCTGGCCCAAACACAAACCTCCCAAGCCTTGCCCTGATAGCTGCCGGTCTCCCCATCATAGGACCAGCCCAAATCGGCACTCGGGTAGAAGTTCCTGAATAAGGAGGAGACAAAGGAGGGGTAGCACGAGGAAAGGATAAAGGTGGAACAGATGTGCCTGGCAAGGAAGATTCTGGAGTAGCAGCTGGAGAAGTTGCCAGTTGAGAAGGAGCCACCGTGGGAGTCACATGGGGGGCATCATCCGTCCTTGCCACTTTGGAAGAAGGAGGGCTCCTGCTAGAAAAACAGGACACCACCACCCTCTTACTTGCTGCAAGAGTAGAGAAGGGTTAGATAAAAAAAAAAAAAAGGAGAAGAGGAAACTAGCTCACCCCTTTTCTTCGAAAAGGAGCCGCCAGATTTCTGAGATGGAGCAACAGCTCTAGTATACTTGGGCAGGAGAACTCCCAAATTTTTACAAGGGCAAGCTTTGACAGCCTCCAATTTCCACTCCTGGTCCCGGGAAAGCACAGGTATGTCTGCATGGAAAAAGTGAGCACACACGCATAAAAAAAAAAAAAAGGAAAAAGAATAAGTGTGTAGCATACCGAATTTTTTAGCAGCACCCCAATGTGTTGGCACCAAAGCTCTGTCAACTTCTGAAGCCCATTCTCCACCAATAAAGAAGAAACAAGATTTTCAGCCGCCGCAATTAGAGCGCGTTCCTGTAAGCACTGTACCACTCTGTGCGGTAAAATAGTACCATCCCCTATTTGGTGCAGGGGTTTCGCTCAAATTATATGCTGCATGAAACTCCATTGGGGAAGCATCCTCATGGTGCACCTTTCTCCATAATGCAAGAAAACCGAGTAGGACTCTCCAACCGTTGGGCGCTAGTTGTCCCGGAGTCAAGGAAAAGTAATGCAAAACACGACAAATGGGGGAGGACATGGGAAATCTTAACCCAGCCTCAAGCATCTCCTCGTAGACAACAATATTCCCGGAAGAGTCATCGCAAGCAAGCTCGCCCAACTCAGCCTGACAGCATAACACGGTCGGAGGGTTGCGATAAGTAAAAACAAGCCTTGAAATATCTTCATCTAAGCGGAACAAACTAGAAAGAGTGCTCACCTTAGACCCGTCATCATCAAGTCCCACTTTGCTCTTGCGTTTCTTCTTCCAAGGCCTTAAGGAGTAGTCCAAATCACCATTAGGAGAGTCTTGAGGAACTTGAATCGGGGGAGCTATAATAGGGGCTTGATCATCAAGAGCAGCACCCAAAGCTTCCTTACTACTTGCAATGTCTACCCCAACGCCTGGAAGTGTACCTGACTGCCGTTGCTCGTCAAAACAAAGTTGCCCAGTAGCTTGAAGGGTGCTTGGGCCTTCAAAATTGCGCAAAGCAGAATTTTTGGCGCAAAAAGCAGCACCTAAGGCGCCCAAATCAGCGCCTCGAGTGGGAATCGGATCAACCCGTGCTCCCAAGCCACTGCCTAGCTCTCTCTGATGAACCTTGGACTGATTTTCAGCGCCCCTTAATGGAAAAATGCTGCTGCCCAGCATTCCAAAGCCACCCAGCGCAGCTGAGCTGTCCGAGATAGCAGAAGCAGCAGCCAGGCTGTCCAGGATAGCAAGGTCAGCGCCCAGGCAGCTGCCCAGCGCGCCTGGGCTGTCCAGGACAGGAGGAGCAGAGCCTAGTCCCCCACCGCGCGCGCGCTGCCCAGCTGCGCGCCTACGCTGCGCAGCCACTTCTCTTCGTTGCCCAAGCCACTCCTCGCGCTGTCCATCTCCCCTTTGCTGTCCAGCCCTTCATTTACAGTCCTAAAGTTATCCAAGACAACATTCGAATGCTCAAAACCAGCCTCCAAGTTCTCCAAAATGGTGCCTACTTCCTCCCTTTCTTCAACCTCCACCACTCCCTCTTCAATTGACATTGTTTTCCTGAGAAGCTCAACTAGCAAGGAAGAAATCACACTTTTGAAAGGATTCAAGGAGAACACACTTTGGTTTCAACAAAATGGGTAGGACTTGAGTTCTCAAGGTTTTCAAGAGGTGGGTGTTCAACCTTAAAAATGAGTGAAATGGGTAACATGAAGAAGAAGACTATATTTATAGTCTAAGATTTTTTAAAAAGAGGGAAAAAGCCCAAATAAAAAATTATGGGCCATTTTCAAAATAAAAAGGCCAAATAGACTATTATGGGCCCTCTTCAAAATAAAGTGGGAAAGACTTGAAGTTTAAAATAATAATAATAATAATAATAATAATAATAATAATAATAATAATAATATAGTCAATGCCTCATTCTCCAAGTCTCATTGGACATGAGGCATTGAGGGGCAAATGATGGGTTAAGCTCAAATAGTCTAATTTATGTGTTAAAGTCCAACTCCAGTGGAGGAGCCCAACCTCATTTTGAATCCACCAAGCCCAAGACAGTCCAAGATCGGTTAGACTTTTTGCTTAGCACGTCATCAAGAGGAGAGCATGAGAAGCTTATCTGCACCACCGAAGAAAACGGTCCAATCTTTGACCGCGTTTCATGAAGAGCTCCCCAACCTCCTCCTTCCGTTGAGGATAAGTCATGATCTCCACCAGAATGATCTCTTAGCTGCGATAAAGTAGCCTTGAGGATAAGTCATGATCTCCACAAGAATGATCTCTTAGCTGCTATAAAGTAGCCCCAATCTGG